CGTGCGCCCTGCGCCCTCCCGGAGCGGCCGCCTGCCCTGCTCGCGGGGCCCGGCGCGAACATGCCAGAGGAGTAGCCTGCGCGCATTGGACGCAACCGAGGAGCCCCCTCCGCCCGGGCGCGCCAAGGTGACCCCCTCGGTGATCCCCCAGCCCCGGGGCAGCCGCTCCAGCCGCCCGTCCTCACCGTCAGGGGGGCGGCGGCCCGGCGTGGGCTGTCTGTCCGTCTGCCTGTCTCCACCCCTTCATTCCACACACCTGCACTCGGTGACTTGGTGGCGCGGCGCAGAGGCCCACCTGGTGCCCGGGGCGGGGTGGGGGGGACGTCTGGGACCCCTCTTTGTTCTGCTTGGGGTGTGTGCGTGAGTGTGTGCACGCGCGTGCGGGCTTTTTGGGGGGCGGGTGGGAGGTCAGTGCAAAGGGAGCGCTTTAGATATTGCATCCAGGACGGTGCCCCCACCCCCTCGCTCGCGACGTGCGGCGGCCGCGTGGTTGTCCTGGCAGCAGCCCAGATGCCAGGCAGTGGTTCCTTTTCCTGCCCGCGAGATGCGCTCTCCGAGCCCGCACTTTGGGGAGCCGCCGCCGGCGCGAGCCCGCGCGCGCCCGCCTCGCTCACCTCCTTACCCCCCTCCCCTCCGCTGCGAAGCCCCGCGGCCCGCGAGCTGCGCCTCGGGAACCGCGGAGACTTCGGCTTTTGTCTTATTGCAAAGCCGGTTCGAGGCACGAGGCTGGCGACACCGGGTAGCAGCGGCCGAGGAGGGGCTGGGTTTCTGTTTTGTTTGGGTGCTTGATGCATGCGCTCGCTTTGCCCGCGTGCCTTCGCTGAGCATTAAAAAAAGCCTGTCTTTTCGTTGAAGAGGACGGGGGTTAAAATGAATGAAGACCAGAAGGTCAATGCCAGCGGGCTGCCTCGCGATCACTTAGAAGCCGCCTCTGCGGAGAACGTGTCGGCTGCTGTCTCCTCGCAGACCCCTGTGGTGGAGCCCGAGCCTGAGCTGGTAGTCAACCCCTGGGACATTGTCCTGTGCACCTCGGGAACGCTCATCTCCTGTGAGAATGCCGTCGTGGTCCTTATCATTTGCCATAACCCCAGCCTGCGAGCCCCCATGTTCCTCCTCATAGGCAGCCTGGCTCTGGCAGACCTGCTGGCGGGGATTGGACTGGTCATCAATTTTGTGTTTGCCTACCTGCTTCAGTCAGAGACCACCAAGCTGGTCACGGTCGGACTCATTGTCGCCTCTTTCTCTGCCTCTGTCTGCAGCTTGCTGGCGATCACGGTCGACCGCTACCTTTCCCTGTATTACGCCCTGACATACAATTCGGAGCGGACAGTCACGTTCACCTATGTCATGCTTGTCATGCTCTGGGGCACGTCCATCTGCTTGGGCCTGCTGCCCGTCTTGGGCTGGAACTGCTTGCAAGACGAAGCCACGTGCAGCGTGGTCAGGCCGCTCACCAAGAACAACGCTGCTGTGCTCTCGGTCTCCTTCCTGTTCATGTTTGCGCTCATGTTGCAGCTCTACGTCCAAATCTGCAAGATCGTGATGAGGCACGCCCACCAGATCGCCCTGCAGCACCACTTCCTGGCCACGTCGCACTACGTGACTACCCGGAAGGGGGTCTCCACCCTGGCGATTATCCTGGGGACCTTCGCCGCCTGCTGGATGCCTTTTACCCTCTACTCCCTGATCGCAGATTACAGCTACCCCTCGATTTACACCTACGCCACCCTCCTGCCCGCCACCTACAACTCCATCATCAACCCTGTCATCTATGCCTTCAGAAACCAAGAGATCCAGAAAGCCCTCTGGGTCATTTGCTGCGGTTGCGTCCCGCCCAGCCTCTTGCAGAGAGCGCGGTCGCCCAGCGACGTGTAGCACCACCCCATCGAGGAAAAGCACGGGCTCACGAAATCCTGCAAACACCAAGCACTTTGCCCTGCCTGGCGGCCCAGCGAGCGAGCCAGGGAGCAGAGCGCTTGAAATGCATTCACCCCGTTCTTTGTACTGAATTTCCCCGCCAGCCACCTCCGGCGCCCTTAGCATCTGTGAACCAGTGTCATTTCTGAGATGAGTTAAGTGATTGAAGTGAAAATGATGTTACCAGTGTTTTTACCCTTTTCAAAAAATACAACCTTGAGTTCTTTGCTCAATACTTTGGTTGGTTGGTTTGTTTAGGGGCAGGGGTTTTTGTTTTGCATTTTGTTGGGAGGGGGAGTTGGTGGTGGGTGTGGGGAAGAAAGGGATACTGATGCCATGGCCATAATGTTATAAAAAGTTAACTAGTCCCAGGGGTTCTTTCCTGGACTTGAAATAAACCTGCGTTAGGGAGGAAAATAGAAGGGAGGTTCTTTTTCCAGATTTTTTTTTTTTTTTTTTTTTTAACATCAAGGTAGATTTCCCATGCTGGGTGCGTATAACAGAATCTGAGCTATTTCAAGCCAACAAAAACAGTTTGCACGATTGTGGTTGCCAGGGACCTGATTTTGCTAAGGTGAACTCAGTGATAAGATAGCAACCCCGGATCCAGGAACTCAGGCCTGCCCCTTCTTTCTCTGCGTTCAGTGATTACCAGTCATTAATTGGCACTTAGTTTGTTATTTCTATGAATGTTACAGCCCTTGCATGTGATTGCCTGGACAGGTAGTCCCTGACTTACAAAAACAGGGTTCCCCTTCGACAACTCCCTCCTAAGATGATTCTGACGTAAGTTGAATACCTCTCCTTTTTTTTCTTTTTAGCTTTCAAAGTCTACTGTACGGCAATATTTTGAACAGTAAGTCATAGCATTAAACATTTGAACATCTGAGAATGACATCAGCAAAGTACAGGCCGTGAAAGTGTCCACAGTGCATATTACTAGATAAGATGTACCCAAAAAAAAAGAAAAAGAAAAAACAAGACAGTTGCAGTTCGTCATAAGTCGGGGACTACCTGTATTAGCTAGTCCACTAGTTTCAAGTGTCGCCGGGGAAATCCAGAGTCAAAGGAGTCATTTACAATGTGTCCTCCTAAAATTTACCGTGGCATTTGTTTTGATTTCCGTTTGAAACAGGGTTGATTCCAGCCACCCATTTATAGTTCCTTAAGCTGATAGATTTCAGGAAACAAAAGGAAAAAAAAATGTAGTAATATCTATTGAAAATAATTACATTTAGTTTAGTATATCCTGAAGAATAAATGATATGAAGCTGTAGTGAAATATGAAAACATCAGCCTTCATACCTCTCTGTGCTCAAGACTGTATTAATAGCTATTCCTGACTGCAACCAGTAGAATTCAGTGTTGCAGACCAAGTCTTTCTGGTTCATACTGTCTATGGTGCAAAGTGAACCAGCCACTCCTCGGAAGGAAGGTTGGGCAATCTACTTCCATAGTGATACTGCCTCGGAAACCCAAGGAGGGGTCCCTATGAGTCGGGTCCGACTCGACGGCACATAACAGCAACATGGTGTAAAGCGAAATCTGTGGCCTCTCATTTTAGCAGCTAATGCTGTTTGTGAGTGGGTCACAAGCATTTTCTGACTGATACTTTTCAACTCAGTTCACAAGTAGCAGGACAGGTGGCTTGTGGGTGAAAAGTTGCATTTGAACCCTTTCCTTCTGTTCACCAAAAAAACAACTTTAATGCAACAAAACTGTGCTGCCTGCTTTTAGAGAGCGAGGTTTGAGTCAGAAATGTGTTCAGCAAGCTCATTCTGAACATGTTTGCAATTCACTGCATCTGAGCATCGTAGCTGTTAGTGCAAACAGATGTTTGAACAGATTCCTTCCTTCTGTTTGAAGTGGAATTAGAGCTGTGTCTCCATGACCCAGGAGCCCTGGTGATACAGTGTTTAAGCTCTCTGCTGCTAACTGAAAGGTTGGCAGTTGAAACCCACACTCCACTCAGCAGGAGAATGATGAGGCTATCAACCTTTGTAAAGATTTACAGCCTTGGAATCCCCCTGGGGCAGTT